TTTGTAAAATGTTAATATTTATTTTGTTTGTTAAATTATATATGGAATATTAATTTTGTTTTAATATACTTTGGAAATAATGACATTTAAAAAAAAAATAAACTAATATAATGATGTGTCATTATATGATTGGAGGACTTAAATCCTACGTGGACACTTTCAATGGCTTATAGCCTCAACTTTTATATAGTATAGATTTGCTTTTGTCTTTTAAAGAAAAAAAATAATAACAAATGTAAAGAAAAAGCAAGATGGGAATGAAGAAACTTAATACTCTGTTTTTATAAAGTTTAATGACTTATCCGTAAAAAAAGATCTAACGCGCTTAATTTATAAATAATATATTTCAAGTTTTAACGACTGACAAAATGCTCTATTCACTTAATCATCTTCGCTACAATGGAACCAAATGAATCATTACATGTCTATGACCTTATCACTTTAAAAGGTAAAGCTATGAATACCATCACTCGCCAGAGATGATCTGCAAGTAGATCTAGTCTTGTAATTCTTTGACCGAGCATCTGAATGCTTCTTCACCAAAGGTTCAAAACCATCTTAATCTCACTGGAACAGTGGAACGTAACCAAAAAGGGACGAACAGCGTCGAAATTTGTATATCATTTAATCTCATTATCAATTAAAACTCAATTTTGGAAACAGAGACCAGAAAAAAAAGTATCAAAATGTACCAAAAACCCAACATTTTTCTCTCAAATCAACATGGCATACACAAATTGAGACATATAATATATGTATATATATATATATATATATATCAAACTCCACTTTACATGGAGAAAACCATGACCTTATGCATCTCCCTCCTCTAAACACAAACCTTCAATTATAGTGTTTCTAGACTCATCGCCATAAAAAAAAAAGAAACAAATCTCTGAGGAGGAAATGGTGATAGGCATATGAAGAATCTTGGATCTTGAATCGATCATCCGACATGGAGATGGCTGTTTTGTCGGTTTCTAAGAGAACCAGCGATTTCGTCAGCGATACACAAACATGTGAAAATCCAGCCGCTCAGAGCAAACCATACGGTCTTAGTCAGATGCATGGCCATTTCCAAAGGCATAGCCATTTCTAAGAGAGCTTTAGTTTTCGCGAGTTCGATCGATTTGGATGGGAGACAAACCACCAGTGATGAAGCGAAGAGAGAAATATGAATGTATATTTAACACGTGACACATGCGGGGTATCTTCAGACCAATCAATAATTACGTCGCCATACTTTTCACCAGCCGCGTCGCGTCTCTTTCTGGCCAGCTAGGAGAGTGTTAGGTGACACGTCAGTGTTCGACCAATAAATTCGAGCGTAAAAGTGAAGACCCCTCCCAAACTTTTATATCAACCTTACCCGAAGGCTAACCATTAATTTTTTTTTAATGTCCTCTATGATGAGTTAGCCGATATTTCCCCAACGAACAACAAATCATTCCCGTATGATTAGACGTATTTTGTTTTTTTTTTCTATATTTGGGACCCATTCTATAGTTGTCTGGTAAAAGCCCATTAAGAGAATGACATTAAACTATTAGAATGAAGAAGCTCATTATGACATTAGTCGGTGAAAAAATAATATTACTATAAAAGTTCGTCCCATGGGATCCTAGTGATAAGATCTCGGATTCAAGTAAGTCATCCTGGTAAGGGATTGGAATCGATACTCTATATAATCAGTCTAAATCCCAAGGAGACGAAAGTTGTTACATGTACACATCGAGATCATAACGGACTTGGAAAGTTGGAAGGCAATGACATGTTAATGGGAGTGGACACTGCTCTTGCTCGGTGAAACCAGCCTCATGCAATCACTCTCTAAAAAATTAAAAAGGTATGAGAAAGAACATATATAATATCTAGTGGGAGATCTGAACAAAAGAAATATTAGAAAACGACTCAATAGCTGTCCATCAACAATTGGTCCAAAAGTTTTTAAAATAAAAAATTAATGTACTAATATTTTAAGTTTGTTTGAGAAACTTACAAAGTATCATTACTTGCTGATGATGGGTAGATTAGAAAACAGCTCTAACAGAACTCAACCCAATGAAATCGGGCCAGTGTCCCATCACTCTGGTCCATGATGTCTCCATTTGTTTTCCTGTGTGGGGGCAATATGGCAATATTGATACCTATTTTGCTTCCGCTTTTCTTTTTGATTTTTTAAGTTTCTGAGTAGCTTTTAGGATTTGTTAGACAGTTTTGCAGAGATGATATGGTTTATAGGAGAAGAACCACGAGATCCTGCTGTGTTTTTAAGGCTAACCCGAAGTGTTATTATTATATATTTGCTAGTTTGTGATGATATACATTTCAGATGTGCTGGAATATACACCATCTTGTGTCGATAATAGTACTTTATCATCATCTACATATATATCCCCTGATTTATTTTATATAGCAACCCTGTAGTTACCAGAAGAAGCATTCCTACTAAGAACCTAACAAAAACTCTGAATTAAAGTTTTGAGAAAAAACTTATCTGAACACCCAGTCAGATCGATGTTGTGATATCATTGTATTTAGGACGTCATCGATCAGTAGTAGATATCACTTCTTCCATTGATTTCCTCTTATTATTACTCAACACTGGTTCTTGTTGCTCGGAATCAAGTTCTTGATGGAGAGTCAAGATTTCAATCACTGACGATTCTTTTTCTTCTATCTCCGGTTTCACTTCTGCTGCTGGTTTCTCACTTTCTTTCTTCAACTTGGGTTTCATCATATGAGATTTCAACTTGGTAAGATCAGCTAACTTCACTGGTTTCAAGAAAAACTCCTCAGCTCCTTCTTCCAGACATCTATTGTTCAATGACATTATGTTAGTACTAAAGTCCTAGATCCATTGCAAGAAATCTACATAGTGAATGGTTCCTTTAGGTAAAAAATTTAAAGACTTGTTGTTCAAGTAATACTAATCCCAATTCACTAATCAAGAAGATTCCAAACCTAGTTATTAAGAAACAGAGACTTACCTGGAGATTCTAGCAGGTACATTCTCAGATGACATTATTACTACAGGAATGCTTCTAAATGCTGCTGATTCCTACACAAGCATATACACTTCTCTCAGAAAAAATCATTATTGTTCTTTTATTATACAATATAACATATAAATAACTAAAGTTTAAGCTAGTGGGAGAAATATTCCAAAGAAATTTTCACCATTGACATTCTCAACTAAAACTCAAGAGGATATCTTTATTTCTTTTTATGGAAAACGAATTTACCAGAGATGGAAAAGACAGCAACCTAACTGAGTCGAAGAAAAAACAAAAAAAAAGTACCTTAACTCTCTTGAGCAAATCATAACCAGTCATGCCAGGCATACAGTAATCTGTAATTATAAGATTTATTTCAACTTCCTGCACAAGAGTCACAACCAAACTTCAATAAAACTAATCCTAAATTCGAAAAGAAACTTCAAGAGTCACAAGATGAATCTAATGAGTTACAGGTGATGTAGAGGTAGCATTTGGGTCGTCGCTCTCATTGCTTTCTCTCAAACCAAGAAACTCGAGAGCTTTAGAGCCTGAATCAACTGTAGTTACTGCAATACGAACAACATAAAAAAAAATTTGGAATCTTCTTTCTCTCTTTCTTTAGCTGAAAGATTTTTGACTAATTTTGTTCTCTGTTTACCTTGACATGAAGACTTTTGCAGCAATCTTTCTATCATTTTCCGATCAAAGGGACTATCATCAACAGCCAAAACATGGAACTGTGACTCTGTTACAACACCCATTGGATTGTTTTGGGTTCCTTCTCTTGTAACACTTTCTAGCTATGCTGAAAGCTTTCAATGAGCATGCAAATGGAGTGAAAGTTAAAAAAGGGTTATATTCGAAAAGGAAAATAAAATAAAATTTGGATCTAGCTTTGAGTTACGGACTAAGCAAGTTTTGAGGGAGTAATCTATTGCTAAGAAGACAACGAGAAAGAGAGAGGGACCTTGGTACTTATGGATAAAATAATGAAAGAAATCTATATGAAGATTTTAAAGGATTTGTTTTATCCACCAAAGACTTTTTGTTTGATTAAGATAAGATGAGAGATTTGATTAATATATACTATCACATGCATTGTTGTTTTGTTGTTTTAACGCCCATAGATAGTTGTTTTAGAGGCCTGGCAAAACTAAAAGATAGTTGTGTTAGAGGTTGATACATATACACTTTCAAATTTGAAAAATTAATATAACTCCACGACTAACCATATTTTGGGACTTGTTAATTTAACAAGCCGTTCATTTTTTTTTAGAAAATCAACTTAGTAGAGTATTTGGCATATACAATTTATATATTTTTAAATTGTTAAATTTTAAATAAAATTTGAACCAATAAAAAGGATAAATGACTAAAGAGATTATATAGTTTTTTTAATGTTTTTCATTAGAAAAGAAAATATGAGAAGAGTTTCTCACTTTCTTTCCTTTTTTTTTTTCTAATTATCTTAGTTATGAAAGATTTGATGGGACACTGATAAAAATAGTGCATTAATTCAACAAAATGATGATCGGGTTTTATCTAGTTTTTGTAATGCTTTATTAGTTTAGAAATAAAAGCTAGTATTAGTTTAATGGTTTATTCAAATTTGATTTGTTAGTGTGTTTATTGAAGCATTTAAGTTTGTTTAATAAATTTTGATTTGTTACGTGTTTATTTATTTATTAAAATTTGGTTATATTAAAATTTATTTGAATTTCAAGATAACTTGAGATGGTCCTGACTGAAATAGTGATTTAAGTGTAAAGAAAAATCGCCGGACCACATAGATTAAAAGATTCATCGTCCTTATTTGTGTTTTGCATTCTGTGTTGTGGGCTTTGTTACTTCATGCAATTCGATGTGACGTGACATGTTGCGTATCAAATTGTTATTGGATGTAATTGTTTTGTTTCACTTTTTATTAAGAGCCTTTAATAGTTTTGACGTTTTTTTGTCTCGGTCAATTTATCTACATCATATAATCGTAGACAAATGTAGTTCTTGTTGGTCTCACCAAATTTTAATCAACTATGTAATTTTATACAACAAAAGTACAATATTATGTAGCACTAAATATATGTATTGATAACCGCTTTATAACCTAAATGTGAAGTAGCTGTGGCGTTGATCGTATACTTGACAGTAGGATTCGTGGGTAAAAGAATAGGAACCAGTTGGGTTGTGAGTTAGTGGCAAAAAGTTACCTCCCAGGGTCATGCACCATTTTCTATTATCTGGACGACACGTATCCAAAGTATGGTAGACACACATGAAAAAGCCCTCCAATTATCATCCCCTCTTATTGCTCTAGTGGGTTCCATATTGTCCTTCGCATTTCAATCTTTTTCTTGTTGATAATTTCACGTTTTGTTAGTTTGAAGGACCGCCACAAAATGACAATGAAAGACTATGACTTAATTATGTTGTTTGTTAACATACTATTAGCTATAACAAGATTCCTATTAATTACAAAAAGAAACAGACAAAGTGGGCATGCCTCATACTAATTCCAGCTTCTTAAACTAATATTGCACGTTTTACTCGTACAGCTTATATATGATTTGATACGTGATAACGTATGACATAAGGTTAGTTATGTGATAAAGAATCACTATACGGTCAATTTTATAAATAGTGTATGACTCGCTGTCAACATCAACGATTTTCGAATTCTTTATTTGAAGAAATGGAATCATTTCAGGTTTAAAGTGTACAGTTTAAACATTTGGAACGTATCTAGACAATTTGTTTTTCACAACACAATGACATGTTTGAAGTATGAATTGAACGGCCAAAACAATCTCACTTGAACTATCTGAGCGAACCGCATACCTCTCTTTTCATGATCTATCCCACAATCATATTTGCAAAATAGTGTTAAAAGTTGTATACTTTTAGTAACTGAAAATATTATAGAGTGATTTAGTGAATTACCCTTATTTGAAGCTCAAATTAGCAAACTACCATTGATTGAACATAAAGGACACTGACACAACTATTTGGCAAGGAAATGCCGAGAATACATTTTCTCTTTCCTCTCATTAACACGAAGCGTAAAAACATTTGTTAACATATAACACTTCTGTTAACGTCTACAATATTTGTTAACAGCCAACACATTTATTACCGCGAAGCGTAAAAATAATTGTTAACAGTTAACACTTTTGTTAACGTCTACAATATTTGTTAACAGCGAACATATTTATTAACGCGAAACGTAAAAATAATTGTTAACAACTAACACTTCTGTTAACGTCTACAATATTTGTTAACCGCTAACACGACGTTGAATCTAAAACCCAGAAAATTGATATCATCAAAAAAATGTGTCACTGAATTTTGTATTTCCAAATCACATTGAGTAAATTTAAAATTTACAATTATTATTTAAGAATCAAAGTGAACTCAATAATATTTAACATATTTATTTTGTATGTAATTCATTTTGAAAATGATAAGAGGAGAGAAGAGCATTGATAACGAAAATGAAAAAAAAAAGTGACACACCCACATGTAAATGCAGGAAGGAAGGAGAGAGAGAAAAAGGGCAATTTGATCCGACAAAATAAATATGTCCCATCATGGGCAAGTGACTAATATACACCCCCATTTGGGGTATATCGGCCAATTAACTCAATATTATATCAAAACTTATTCATCCTTAAGTTCGGTTAGAAATAAGTTTTGTCATTTAAAACACAGTTGACAGCCAAATTAATATAACTAATTAACGATAACATAATTATATTATGAGAAGTTTCCCATGATAACACTTTTTTTTTGTTTCTTTTCATCAAAATAATTCTTCAAAAGGAGAACTAGATTTTGATTTGCGATTTTGATATAGTCATTAGGTGTTATAATAAAAAGAAATATATAGTTAATATTCATGTTAGTAGGTGTTGTAATAAAAAGAGATACATATATTTTTGATTTACCTAACGATTTGCCATTTAAATTTCAAAAAAAAATAACATGCAATCTGGTGGACAATGGAACATTCGTCGGTGTCGTGGCAATCACCTACGGGCGATGATAGCCTGCATCAACATTGTTCCAGCTCCGGCGGAGGACGCAGCTGATGATCGTCACCTATGGCGTCATGGGGATGGGATTACAAACCTACTTTGTCAAGCAAAGCAACTTGGGAACAACTCAGGGTCCACTACCCTAAAATTCCTTGGTGCAGAATTGTTTTGTTTCAACAAAGTATACCTCGGTTTGCTTTCATTACATGGTTAGCTTTTCATGATAGACTGTCTACGGGAGTACAAAGTCGAGCTTGGGGGTGCATTCAACCGTGTCTCCTCTGTGGTGAACCAGATGAAACTCGCGACCATCATTTATTTGCATGCCCTTACTCCTTTACGGTATGGATTAATCTAGTAGGCTTCATGCTGGGGTCCAGGGTGAATCCTGATTGGAGTATCACAGTCACAACCCTTCTATCTCGTCGCAGGAAGGAGGTAGACACCTACCTCCTCAAGCTTGCTTTCCAAGCTACCATCCATACTATCTGGCGCGAAAGAAACAACATGAGTCATCATGGAAATTCCCTCAGGGCTGGCCAAATGGTCCGTTATATTGATAAGACCGTTAGGAACATAATCTCTTCTCTCTGTCACAGAAAGCCAGACTTCTATAGCGCTATGATCAGTGGCGGAGGTAGGAAAAACTTGCAGAAGGGTCAATTTCAAAATTGACATATATTATAGGGGTCATTTAGTTAATATTTACAAGATTTACTTAGTCTTTACAGAATTATACATGTAAATTTTTTTTTCCAAAAAATCCACCTGGGTCAATTGACCCACATGCTAACACATTGGCTCCGCCACTGGCTATGATGCAGCGATGATTTGCCAGGACCACTTCTTAGCAATCTGAGTACCTTTATACCCTCTATGACTCGTGTTTCTTATTCGAAAGCATAAACTTTAGTGATTTATATTTTTTCTTTTGTTGATAATCAATTTAAAATTTCAACAAAAAAAAACATAGTTTTTTCAACAACCTTAAAATATTATAGATGAGTATGGCATAGTCAATATGTCGAGAGATATATAGGTTATGTACATGTGAACCATAGTCAACAATCTTAAGTACTATTAATTGGTTAAATATGTTTTTTTGGGTAAAAATTGGTAAAATATGTATATCTCTTGATTATATTATAGATGGGTTCGAGAGAGATATAGGTCGGATAGTTAGTCTCTTTTCATTTCCAATTTTATCTTTAATGACTTTTTAATTATTAGTCAAAACTATAGTGACAGTAGTATCCCAATGATAAGTAGGGGCAAATCTAAACAAATATTATGTTTTAATTGTATAGTTAGAGAACATTAAGGTAAGATAAAAAAGTTAAGTCTGATGAAAAGATCCAACAACCTTGTTTAAGTAGATTTTTATTAGGATTTCTTCATTTTTAATAGTATTAATGATCAAAAAAGTATTTTTAAAAGACGAAAATATGTATATATATTAGCAAGGTTAATTAATTTAGGTTTATGGTTTAGAGTTAAGAAGTGGGGTTTGGAAATGAGATTTTTTTTATAATAATTAAATAAATAGAAAAGTTTCAAAACAATTTTTTTTTAAAAATAGTTCCAAAAAGTATTTTCAAATTTCAAAAATAAAATATGAAAATAAATAGAAAAATAGAAATAATTGAATATGAAAGATATAATTCGAAACTTAAAACAAATATTTTTAAATTATTTTTTTCATTTTTATTATTTATGTATATCTATCTATAAAGCAAGAACTATAAGAGTCTTTGGCATTTTTAATGAAATTCTTTTGTTTATTCTTCTTGAGGTTTCTTTAGGTGACAAAACTTAAAAAAAAATATGTTGCTTGAAAGAACTTCTCTTATATTAATTTTTTATCGAATTTGTTTTAACAAAAAAAAAATTTATCATAAAA